TGTAGAAGTAGTAATGGTAGTATTAGTATTTGAATAGGGTAAAATGTCCGACTGATGCAAAATCAGTTGGGTTTCTATCCTGGCTTAAGGCAATTGGATGTCTAGCGACACTAATGAGCTGTGAAATAATCTCTGTGGATGACGATATAAAATGAATGAGTATTAAACTTTTTCTCACCTTAGCTAAAAGGCTTTTATCAGTTTTATTGCAACTTTCTATTTCTTTCTTGTGTTAATTAGGCTTTTCAACCCTAAATAATATAAAAAATAAGAATCAAGAAAGACTACACTTCGAAGAAATGAGTCTGCTTATCGCACAGTCAACCAAACATTGAAAAAAAACTCCACCAGGCACAGGTTTCACACTAAATAAGTGGCATAAATAGTCAAATAGAAACATTGAAATAAAATGTTTTGTGTATATATTTTTAAAAAATCTATGGTTTATATTTCATAACATTTAAATGTATATCTTTTAAAGATTTTACTGGCCTTGCCAAACCCTTTTGGTCTGCTTTGTATGTGCCATGATATTTTCATTTGCTTGTTTAAAAAGATTGAGAAACAATGTTTTATGGGTTTTTTATTTCATGTGTTTTATAATCTATACAAACGTTTTAGTCTGTTTTAAGTGAACTTATTTTAAAACTTTTGGAGGCAAGTTTTAATCAAGCCACACTGTAAACCTGGGTAACTTTGTTCCACTTCTTGGGTAAAAGTCAAAAATTCTGTTTAGTGGATGTATATTTGATGCAAATAGTGATGGCAAACATTGTGCATGGACTAAACTGCTACATATGTGAAAAAATGGTGGAAATTGGTCATTTCATGTCGGCAAAAAAAAAAGTTTTGTACATTGTGGTCAATGTTACCCGGCAATGGGATAACTTTCACCACTGTATCTGAACCTTCCTTATGTATATAAGTGCTTGTTGCAGTTGTCTGGACTTGTAACTTCGACCACCTATAAAATAAGGCTTCTGACTACATTTGTTGCAGGATTTTCATATATTCTTTCAATTTAATCCAAAATGTTGAAACTAAAGATAAATTGCATCAAGTACATTACATGGAAAAGAAATTTTATGACTGATGATATCAAAAAGATAAATCAAGAAAATCACTCACTTTAGTTTTCCTGTGGCCTTCTTCCTTGAAATCTTGACAGGAAAGGAAAGACATGCATAGTCTTATCAGAACAATGCATTCTGGGGAAATAGCTTATGCCCAGGCCTTTTAAAAATTGCTTCCAGCTTAGTGATAAAAAGTCATCCCAAAAGTTTTGATTCTCTTAGGGCAACTTTGACCACCCTAGTCAACAAGTTCCCTGATGATCATTGACCTTCAAAACATCTGTTTCTTGTTATTTGACCTCTAAGCTTCTCAAATAACTTTTTTTCCCCATAAAGTTGGTTTAAAAACGACTTCTCACCAATAACATTTTGAGAAGCACTTTTTATGCACAAATTATGGTGTGCAAATTTGCTGCCTTGTGGGAAAGTCTTTGAAAATGAATTAAGTCTTTAACAAAGTAGACACTCTCACCAGTAAAAAAACAAAAGTTGCAATTCTATTGATAACATTACAATGGTGGTCATTTTTTTTTCAAAATTCCCAAAATCTGTCAAAGTTACTGCAGTTTAGAATATTTGACTTTATTTTGAATGAAAATGAGTTGGAACTACTTTAGTGTTTAATAAAAATTGTTAAAAGCTGCCCTATCAGGCAGCATTTAAGCTTAGTTCCTGTGGAAGTCTCTTGATTGGGCCTTCATCATAATAAGAAGTAGATGTGATAGGCAAGAATAAACTACAAAAGAACTCAAAACTGATTGCTGCATTTAAGTATTGCATTAATATTTAAGTGTACCTTTTAAAAGTTCAACCATAATTCTGATGCCAGTTAATTTAAAGACATTTTGATGTATGTAGGTCCTTCCTTTTCAGTACAAAACAACTATTTTTATTTCATGGGTGAACTTTCCCTGGATTTCACAATTAACTTTGATTATTCCCAAATTTATTTCCAAGTTATAAAAATTGTTATTGTACAAAAAAATTTGTTGCATAAAATCATGTAAAAAAATTGCTGAAAACAATCACTAATAAAAACTTAGGATTCCGAAATCTCAGGATTGCAGATCAAGATCCAGCCTGATTCCAAAACAGTATATGTCGGGCTATGGCCTCTAGGAGTAAAGTTGAAAAAAATGTGACACAGTGACATTCGCATTTATTATGTAGATTGTTTATATCTTTTAGGATACCAGACTTCCATGTCATACCATATACTTACTTTTTTTAAGATCAAAAGATACTGATGTTCTCGTACAAAGCCTTCTAGGATAAAGTATTCAATGTGAACAAGTTGATCAATGACACTTGTGTGTGAATCCACTTTGATATTCAGACACAATGTTATGTTTTTCCAGAAGACATCTTAACCATGCATTTAACATTCTTTCCATGGTTTTGCAAAGGCAGATGGTAAGAGAAATTGGACAATAATTATTTGAATCCGAGACATGCTTACCCTGTTTAGGAATTGGGATAATTACAGCTTCTTGCCATTCTTTGTGCACATTTTTTTCCCATGATTCTCTTTTACTGGTTTTGATGATGCCTCATGCCTTTACACAGGCTTGCTGATAGTTCTGTAGGTTCATTTTTGTTGACTGAAGTTGAAACATTTAAATTGTTTTTTTGGTGTTTACTGGCTTCCTTACATTCTGTTGTGAACCAAGGTTTATGTTTGACTTGTGATTTGGCTGAGAATATAGGGATTGTTTGTCCTGCCACTTGGATGACTAAAACTTGTGAAACAGGTCAGTGGGTTTGTTTCTGAGTATTTTACTGGTAATTAAGTATTGACAGAGTTCTGTGAATGCCTGCCAGCCTATCCTATAGATTTGCCATTTAGGGATTCTCCTCTAGTATTGGTTTATTGGAGTCAATGAAAATAGGAGTGTGATTACTCTCACATTGATCTCCATGTACCCTTCATTGGAAATCCATGAAGGTTGATGGGGAGCAAATTGATAGATCTATGGCTGATATAGAACCAGAAGCT